AAGAAGTCCAAGTAAGAACCTTTTTTTATTTGTGTGTGAGTAGAAAAAAACTATCAGATGTTAATTAGACTGAAGGAACAAATGTTATTTTTGTTACACTCGAGAAACCATGTGGAAAAAACTTAACTACAAAAAGTAGAAAAGTCAAAAAAGAAAATTTTATTTTGCAAGGAAAGTGGACTAGTTTCAAATGTGATTCTACTATAATTATTTACTCATAGCTTATCATCGGTTTCATATATATGTTTTCGCTTGTTACAGAGTATATATTGTACCGTGTCCTAAATAAAGTTACTTAACTGTACTTAAAGTTCAGCATCAGTGAAGTCGATCAGCTATATCACAACAATATAAGTGCCCAGAGTTGCAATTGAATTATCAGAACTTTTTGAGACAGAACTATTAATTAGATCACACGATTGTCTGAATTAGCCGCGATTTGAATAAAACCAAGTGTTGAAGCCTAACAATTAGTATTTTTTATTGACATAGTCAAGGGTGAGTTCACTTTTTTAATGATTCTCAAGTTATTAAAATAACACCATTTACTAAGGACACCCTCAACAACCTGTGTTCACTTATTTGTCTCATACAAAATAACATTTTTATTTTAGTAAAGTGTTTACATTTAATTTCTTAGATCCAAAGATATTTAGGCAATAGAACTGCTGAAATCTTTCAGTTGGAATTCGCGAACCGAATTTCCAAGAGACTTTTATAAGTGAGCACTGGCTGCTCTAACGGCAACGACCCTATTAACTGATATATCGTGTACAGTATTAAATTAGAATGTATTTATTACTTTGTTGTGTTTTAGGTTGATATGAAATTTTTATGGACTAAGATGTTATTTCTATTGTTTACTTTAATTGTGTTTCCTTTTTAATAAATGTTTATATTCGATCCTCGTGATTAAAAACAAGTTTTCTAGTGATTGCAGTTTTCTTGGTCCCTCGTTTTGATGAGTACTAACTGTGAAATTTGTGTGAAACAAATGGTTCATCTAAGTTTTGGCATTTACCATACACATCCACTAGATTTCCTTTGTAATGTTATAATGAAAATTGTGGGAAATGCTTTGTTAAAAACATTTATTATACAGCAGCTTAGACAAAAAAGCTTCCATACATTTACACATATTGTGCTTCCTGTCGTAATAACTGTCGCTAGTGTACCTAGGTGCTAAACGGAGAGTAATTCAAATGGTTCACTAAAACTACTTCCTCACATTGTCAAGTTTGCTTCAAACTTTGTTTGCAACTCATATGCATTGAGGCTTGTATCAAGTAGTTTTGTTGGTCCCAGATTTAACAACATTTTGAAATCAAAATAATGTCATTGTTATTCTTGTTCTGTTATTATGTTAAAGTTTATTTTCAATCACCTTACTGTACCTTACCTAGTTGGCCTCTCAAAACAAAGCAGGTCAACAGCTTTTCGCCATCTTCCTCTGTCTTCCATCTAGTTCTTCCGTAACATTCATTCTTCTCATGTATTTTCGGACTTATTTTAAATCACAGTAAAAGTAATTTTTATGCTGGTATATTTGGAATTTACGATAGTGTGTCACTCACGTCTTTGGTTGAAAGAGGTGCTATTTTTTCTTTGAATACTTTTCTTCATATAAACAGTACATTCAATTAATATTTACCCTTCAATTTCGCTTTACCCCCATTATAGAAGGGTTTTCTGTAAAGTAAAGAATGTTAAGTTGAATTACCTTCGCCTAATGTGTTGTTTTTATTACACTATCTGCTCTTGGTTCTATACTCTTCTACAACATCCCTTAATGCTCAGTTAAGTCATGACTTGTTGCTGAAATTAAGTGAATTGTTTTGTTTAATTGTTTTCAAATCGTCAAAAAATCTTCTGCCATATGAAGATTGTCATTGTTTTGGATGCTTTTAATTCAATTGTTGTTTTTAGAGATGAATTCTGTATAGTAGGCCTAAACCTCTTTTCGTCAGTAACACCGTTTTGAAATATTAAACTCAATAGTGCTGCTTATGATGTGATGTAGTTGCTGCCATTTTAAAACACAGTAACTATATCTATGACAAAACAATACTCAAATATACTCAAATATATACTCAAATAGTCATGATGTGAAGCCAATTAGGCAGAGTACAACTAAATGTTCATTATTTTTTAAGAAGCCTTTGTGGGTTTTGGTCTCTTCCTTGGCTGTGCTTTTTCTAATGTAAAATTGCACATGCTTTCTCCACTTACTAACAATTTTGTCAAGCAATTCCAGAACAGAAAATCCACAAATCACATGCTTTTTTCAGCTTTTGTAACAATTATTTTAAAATCTTTTATTAATTTGTACTCTTAACTGTATTTTTTTAAAGTCCCATATACAGCAAAACTATCAGTTACATTGTAGAAACCAACAGTACTTTGGCCATAAGTACTAAACAAACGTTGATTTTAAGTAATAAATAAACCTTTCAGCTTTTTAGCATTCGACGTTCAACGATATGGTTGAACATTGTGTAGCCTATTAGATAAGACTTGTGAAACATTTTTGTTGATGAATAACGTTTGTACAGGTACAACAAAACAAAAATATCTAAACTGTAAAAATGCACTATGTAATTTTAAAAAAATTTTAAAAAGTAAAGTTTTAGCTGTTATAGAACTTGTATAAGAAGAAAAATTCATATTATCTTAATATTTGAATAGAAAGACCTAAATCCTTTAACTACTTACAATAGAACCTCCATATCTGATCTTATCTGTTATAAATTTGTTTTGCGACATGATCTCTGCATATATTGTTTTCCAATGTGTTTTATTTTAATCGCCTCTCAAATTTACCCTTTAAACCTGCATCAGGAAATGTTATATGTGCCTCACCTTCGAATCATTTCCCAGTCACCTTTTTTCAACTATGATTAAAAAACGTTTTTCTATTCTTACCATGTCCTCTCATTCTCAACAGATATGAAGGGTTCTACTGTATAAACAATCATTGTCTAAACCAATTTATTCAACAAATAGGTTGTGTCAAATAAATTAAATTTGTTAATGGCGTTGCCAAAATATTTTATTTTTTCAAAACAGTAAAAAGTTTTTAGACTAGCTGAGGGGACTTATGTCTAGGGTGAGTACCAGAAATGTTGTTGGGAATGCTGTATGTGATTGTAGCTGCTCACCTAGCTTGCTCGGCTCGCATTGTTCGTTTGTAGATTGTTTTATACGTTCTTTTGTTAATAGGATTGATCTGGCGGTGTGTCCGCGACAAAGTATAGTTCAAAATACTTTGAACTGTGTTCAAACAAATGTCCCAACATTTTTGCTGTGTTTTCAATGTTTTTACGTCAAACCAATAACTTGAATTGCAATAAATGGGTTCTTTTTCAATTTTGTTTATTATTAGAAAAAAAGTAGAACAATGGGCAATATATAAAAAAATAACCGTCAGCAGTTATGGTCATGGTCTTTTTCATGTTTTTTAATCGTGTAAATATTGAAGGATACAACACTTGATAATTTTTCAGAGGTTGAGCTAAAATTTGAATTTTTTTGAATTTGTTTGAGCTTGAAAACTAGACTTTTATAAATTGCACATATGTTATATATTTTTTGACTGTAGGAAGTCCTCTTGTTTGAACGCTGATTGCATATAGAGTCAAACTGCCCAAAATTAGGAGTTTGAACTTATTCTATAAAAGTCTACTAGATGTTCTTTCAAACCTTTAAAAGCATGTTAGATATTGGCTTTGAGTTTTAAAAATGGAAGCGCTCAGCTTTTTACATTTGTTTACAACATTTAAAACTTCATAATTTTATTGCTGCTTTATTAGATTTAGAATACTTGTGTCAACTTTTGTTACAAATTTTGTTTCGGTTTCGGAATGACATTTTTGTGTTTTTCTTATATATTTACTCGTGCCAACTATTATTTTTAAGAGGTATTTGTAAAATAAATGTGCATATTTACAAGTTTTTGATTAAATATATTTTGCAATTTTGATGTTTTATTATTTTAGCACATTTTACATACCTTTGTACATAGACCTAACACAGTTTTATAATAGCTGTTTTTTCATTAGTTTTGTTAATTTTAGTTTCCCCAAAGAAAATGTATTATAACTTAGTTTGATATTTGTTTTTACTAGTTTATATTGATTGTTTAACAGAAACTACAATCCTTTATTATTCATATGATGTTTCATAAAAGCTTATTATTGTATGGACTTATTATTATGTTTATTGGAAAATTATTCTTCTATACATATATTACTCTTCTTGTCATCCAAACAATTTTTTATTATTTAAATAATAATATTCTTTATTTTCTTATCTTTGTTTATGGTGTCATTAAGTATTGAGGTTATAAAACTATTCTGTACATGTATTGACATTAACCTGCATTCTGAGTTTTGTGATACAACTATTAGGTGGTCCATTTGATACGTTTAGTATACTACAGTACTAAACTAATTTATTTTCAAATTACTTTCTGTAAAAAGTTATGGTTTTTGTTGATTTTGTTTGTTTGTTATTGTCTTGCTAAGAGAAAGTAAAAGATTAACTAGTTTTAAAAAGTCATTTAATCGGCAAAGAACTTACTTAAACCTTCAATCTTGTTATGCTTATGTGTTGCATGTCGATGTTATTATCATAACAACATATCACAAAAATATGCCATAGTTAAACTTGTTAGCGTGGTAGAATAATTCCAAAATTTAAACTCAGAGTAGTTTTGTTCAAATTTTATTCATAGCGAAAATTTATGAATGATTTAAATTAGGTACATGAGACTATCTTTGCACAAATTTGAAATTGTCTAAATATTTGATTTTTACCTAGTTTGAGTTTGATATTGAAAAATCTGCATTTAATCTAAAATACTCGTATTAAGAGGTGTCTTACAAAAAATTTATTGAAAATTAAAACATGATTTTTATATTCATTTTAAGTTAATACACGATTATTTATTAGCTACAAAGTGAATGTTGTAGTGAGTGTTTCACCCTGTTGTTGTTTCACAGAGCCGCCGGGCAGTGTAATCAGTGTGGGCAGCGGGGATGAGAGAAGCAGTCCAGCGCCTCCTGTAGTGACGCAAGTCATCACACACAACGTACGAGAGAACAACAACATCGTCTCGTCCACACCGACTCACAAGACCAACGGAACACTCAACAATTACAAGTAAGCTATGTTGTTTACTTGATGCAACCCAAAAATTCTTTAAGAACTTCAGTTGTCTGTTTTAAAGTATTTTCTATCCCATTGTAACATTTTCGTAGCTGTATTAAAACACTGAATTATATAGACATTCTCTTAAATTCATTTTTCCTACACACTGTGGTGATACATTGGCTATTTTTAGCATATGATGGTTTAACCGAAAAATTGGTTATTCGAAATGGCTCTCCCCCCTTTATTTCGGTTAACCGGGGTTCTACTGTACTTTAAGGATCGTTTGACGCAAAAAGTAACGTAACCATTTTATATTGCAATTTTCGATCCAGAGGCTAACCTATCATGAAAAAAAATTATATTAAGAGAAATCACAATATCGCATTGTGTTAATTTCATTTGTAAAATTAAAGAGAATAACTCGTTGCTAATAGGCTCCTAGTCCCCTTTAGTGGGAACTCAGTTGATCAGCTGTAATAATAACGCTGCCAGTTAACGATTCCCGGCTTAGGACAGACCCAACCGACCAAAGGCATATTCTTTTGTGTTGCTAGCTGAATGGTTAGTGTTTCGGACTTTGGTGTGGGAGGGACAGGTTCAATTCCCGACACATCCAGAAAACTTTCTCACATTGACCTCTTGTAAAATGCTACTGGCGTAAACAAAAATAAATAAGACAGCCCAGAATTATGACAAAACCTTTTTAAATCACACTATCTTTGCCCTCCCTCTCAAGTAGAGGAGTTAAAAATAATCATTATACAGTGTATTCTTTTGACAATTTTCTTCAAACACACTCCAAAATATAGCCTACTATGATAGCTTTTAGTATGACATGTTTGATTTACAAGTCTGGTTAGCTCTTATTTGTCCAATTAAAATTTTAGAGTTGTATCGTTTTGGTGAAAAATGTTCTCGTCTCTTCCTGCTGTGAAATAATTTTCCAATGTGTTGCAGCGAGGTGTCGCTAACTCCAGATCTCAGCCCGCTCAAGAGTATCAAGGACGAACTCAACAAGGGAAGCGGAGATTTGGTCGACGGAGAAGTCAAGAAGAAGGTGAGGCATTGACCTATACTGATCAAGATCTTTAAAATTTCGACAAAATCTCCCTAAAGGTGTTCTTGTGTAAAAGTCTGAATAGCTTATCTTATCAGTCATAATTTCCCTGTTGTGAACATTTCATACACAACTTATGAAGCAAAATCTTCAGTAAAGTTTCTGTTGTGTTTTGGTTTAATCTAATAAAACAATTATATTTTCAGCGAAACACTTCAGACAAAGCTTATTTCATTGCCAAAGAAATCCTCATGACTGAGAGAACATATCGCAAGGACTTGGAAGTCATTAATTTGGTAAGTATTGTAGTTAGTTTTCAGTGTCGACATATTTTAAAAAGCTGTAAAAAGCTTTTGATTTGGATTACAGTTTGGAACATTTTTATTAAACATATCCTCAATAATGTTTTTTAGAGCACAGGAAATACTTTGGAGTGTCTCAACATTAATGTAAGGGATCCTCCACTTGATGAGGCATCATTGTGCTAATCTCAAGAGAGATTCCTGTCTTACTCAAGAAATCATTACCTCAATAATTTCCAATTTGTTTGGACTTGCTTTATTTCTGCCATAGAATTGTTTCTTTTTTTTGTTTTTTTTATTAGAAGATCACCTAATTAGATGAGGTTAGTGCGTTGAACAAACGCATGCGTTTTTGGAATGCGGTTTCACTGGATATAACTACATATGAGATTTGTTTAATTCTTCATTAAAGTCAGGTGTCAACAAAATTTTGTTCTTGAGAATTTTCAGTATTGTGTTTTCAGTGAAATAACACAAATCGTGTCTTCCTATTAACAGTGACTGGCTGAAATGTACCGAACGAGGAACTAATAGGTGGCCAAAATAATAGTAATATTTTATCCATTACTGAAAAGCTAAGGAACATTCCTTAGTGCTATTGCATAGTAATGGCATTTCCCGTCTCTAATCACGTTGTACTAGTCTATAATGTTTCCCTAGTGGTGGAGAGATGAGGTGTGTAAGGAGGAGTGTCCGTCATGTGTGGACACGTTGCTCAACCTGCTAGACCCTCTACATGACGCTCATTGTCTCATACTACGCGATGTAGAGCTACGACTCGCCAGCTGGGAGACCCGCAACTCTCAACAACAGCGCATCTCAGACATATTGTTACGATCCTGCGACTACTTGCCGGTAACTCAAACAAATCGTATAATTTTTCTGGGCCTTCATTTTATTTTTGATAATGTATTCTCTTAACATTCAAGATTGCTAGACTCTAGCCGGAAACAATTTTATAGGTTTAGGTTAGGCCTAGAGGGTCGGGGAACTATCACCAATTTAATTGGTGATTGGTAGGATTTGAACCTAGAACCTCAGAGTGTGATCTGTGTTACCATTAGACCAGTTTGATCCCCAAATAGGACTCACTCTGTGTAGTGTTTGATATTAATACCAAACTTTCACAGAACCAAAATTTCAGTTCTTGTGAAACCTTAGGCAAAGGAAGGAATGAATAAGGTGGAAATTGAAAAAATTACATTGGGTTTTCTAATGTTACTAGCGTATAAGGTAGAAACACTAAAATGACACAGTACCGATATTCCAAATCGCACCGGCTCAGAAAACGAACTCAACCCTTGGTTTACCGCAGAAAGTCTACAACTTAAACGTTAGTTGTGAAAAAAATTTGGAATATCATTATTACAAGATAATTATTTAGTGTTATTTAGGTTAATAGTTACTCAGTTTGTCCTGATGTTCCCAGTTGTACGAGAACTACATAGACAGGCATCTAGAAGTACTGGAGCAACTAGACGTTGAGTTCAGAACCAACCCCAAGTTTGAACAAGTCTACCGAGACTTTGAGAGTCAGAAGATCTGCTACTTGCCGCTCACTGCGTTTGTTCTCAAACCCCTTCATCGGATCTTCCATTACACCAACCTCCTCGACCGTGAGTATTACCAGTACAGACAGTAATGTAAAATAGATGGACTTTTCCTAGGAAGGAGAGGAAGCTTGTCCTATTTTGAAGTGACCTTATGCTAACCCTAAACATAGCTGCCTTGAAAGAATATATGTTTAATGTGTTTTATTTTTTATAGAGACTTGTTTTTTAGGTTAGGTCTTGGATATAGTTTTTGACGCCATTCCATGTACTGATGTACGAATATGAAATAAAGACGATTTGATTGCTAGTGTTTGAATAGTTAAAGATCAAGTCCTATGTGAGCCATGATCATTTTAATGTTACAGGACTTCTGAAGCATTACACCAAGGATCACATAGACTACGAAGATTGTCTCAGTGCTAGAGACAGATTGAGAGAGTTGCAGCCTCATTTGTCCGAGCGACTACGAGTCTCTGTAAGTATCAATCAACTGTGACCGTTAAATCTTATAAGCATGGCACGATTTTTGCTTGCTAAAAACTTCAAAATAGGTAAATTTGGATTCAATAAAAATTTTAGAGAATCTTGCAGTTGTAGCGACACTGAATTTTTGGCGCCCAAAACTCTCAGATAGCTTTTGCAATTGTTCAAATATCAAAGGATTCCCGTCCCAAAGAAATGTTGAAAGTATCAAATCCTGCTAGAAAGAGAGGTGACTATTTAGTGATCCAAACAAATATTTAAAACATCTCCATTTTGAATGCTCGGTTAAAATTAAATGAATAGGAGAGTGATTATAGTTCGGCCGCTTAGAAAGCGACCTCCTCCAGCATTGGTTTAGCATTAGCGCGCAGGTCGTTTTCTAAGCGGCCGAACTATAGTGTCAGCACTGATTTGTGTTCATTACGAGACAGAAGTCGTAGACCACCTTGACCGTCAGTGTAGACTTTACTTCAGCTTGGTTGCGTCGCGTATGTCAATATCCTTCTTTTCTTTTCTTTCCTTGTTGTTTACGCCAGTGGAATTTCAAAGAGAGAAAGTATGAGAAAGCTGTCCAAACCTGTATGATTTTGTGTATGTGCTGGGATTGAACCCATCCCGCACTATAGTCTGACATTCTAACCACTAGGCTAGCAACACACCCCAATAATTCCCTCATAAGTCTTAGTGGCCATACTGCGTTTGGTTTGTGTTTTGTGGAAAAGTATGTTTGTTTTATAGATCTGTTTGTCATGTTTTGGTATCTATTGAACTCTTTTAATCTTCAAATGAAGTGACCACTTTTGACTCATTTTAGTGATTGTTCAACCTAAGAAACTTAACTGCTGATACAGCAACCAATGATTGCCATTTTAAGTAAAACTTTCTGATTTTTTTTTGTTGGCATGTGTTGCAGGAAAACTTTGTAGCGCTTTGTGAGCTACAGAGAGACACTGTAGGGTTCGATCACCTCACTTCACCACATCGTCAGTTCCTGAGGCAAGGCTGTCTCAACAAGTTCTCTACCCGCAAGGGCTACCTGCAGCGCATGTTCTTCTTGGTATGTGAACAATTGTTATGTGATACAGTAGAGTCCCGCAAACTCGGCGTAATGTGGACTGGAAGGGTGCCGAGTTTGTGAAATTCCGGGTTATCGGGAACTAGAGTTAAAAATAAGAACAATACAACTTTTAAGCTTATTAACTGCCACTTTTATTTATATTTATATTACAAGTTATTATTAAGTCATCAGATATAAAATATCTGGTTTTACAATACCTTTATCAGTTCCAAAAGTAACTTTCGTCAACGTGTGTTACATGTTTCGGCGAGCTGCCATTGTCAAACACTTCAATACAGGAAGATGTAGATCCGCTTGAATAGCTTCGTTACAACACATCACACGACATACAACATTTTTACACGACACGTACGACATAAACATAAAAATAAATACTTGTGGTTTGATAGGCCTATCATGAATACGCAACATTGCCGGTACACGAGCGGGAACAGATGTGATGTGTTGTAACGAAGCTATTCAAGCGGATCTACATCTTCCTGTATTGAAGTGTTTGACAATGGCAGCTCGCCGAAACATGTAACACACGTTGACGAAAGTTACTTTTGGAACTGATAAAGGTATTGTAAAACCAGATATTTTATATATTACAGTTCCGGGGCTACAACAATGAATTTCATCAGATATAGTAGAACAAATCCTTGGTACGAGCTGCGAATGATTTGGCTCGAGTCCATGTTTAACTCGGACTCAAAAAATCACTAATTTTCTGAGCCTAATCAACTAATTTTCTGATGGCCGAGTTATCCAGACTGCCGGGTTATCAAGTGCCGAGTTTGCGGGACTCTACTGTGATAGATTAAATTGGAATAATACAATGATTACATAGCATCATCATTTAGTCATCATTGTAATTGGTGAAAAATTACTTAAAATATTTATAGACTTCAAGGTGTAATTGGTATTGATTTGTGTAAGGTGTACAACAAACACTACGGTAACCTTGTTTTTCCGAAAATTCATAGTCAATAACTAGTGGAAATGGATATTTTTAGTGTTCTGGGCCTGGGTTTGTACTCATTGGGTTTTTAGTGGAAGAGAAGTTGTTGCAAACATCCATGGGCACCTTCTTTTCTACCAAACATTTCCTGAAAAATATCAACCCTTGAACATCTCAATTTGTATTCACATTTACTGCCTTGAACTGCAGAAGTTACAGTAAAGCTGACAAATGGTAACTAATAAAATCGGGAATCTTTGCGATTTGGCTTTGGCTTTAACACATCACTACTGAAATTACTTGGCACAGTAAACACTTGTTGATGTAGTCGTCTAATTTTGGTTGTTCTGTTATCAGTTCTCGGACGTACTGCTGTACACCAACAGAGTAGGTCATATGTTCAGTGTTCACGGCCAGCTGCCTCTGCATACTCTTGCTATAGAGGAAAGATGTGACACTCCTACAGCTAATTCCTTCATCATCTATGGCGGCAACAGGTAAACTTGTAAACTAATACTGTAGAGTTTTGAGTTTAAGGATGTACTGTAACATAGAGGACGAGGGTCTAGGAATAAGGAATTTTTGCGAGGATTGCTGGCTTGCCTGGATGGGAAAGAAACCAATACAAGAAACACAAAACTTTACACAAAACAATAGACAGTCACTGTTACTGACAGCGTTTCCAACAAAGAAAGGTATGAGTTGAAGAGAAAGTTGGTTTGCAGTTAGCGATTCCGGAAATCATCTGATAAGTTTGGGCGTGAAAAAATTCAGTGCCGTTTTGATTGCTAGAGGCTCTGAAATCGGTATTGAATCCTATGTCCAATTATTGTCAAAGTTTTGAGTAGCTAACTCTCTCTATAACTTATACCGTTCTAAGTTGATAGTGCTGTCAGTGAAAGTGAAGTATTCTAATATTTTTTAAAATTATTTTTAGTATTTTTTTTTCAGGGATAGACGAGATTGAAATTTTAGTTCGAGACGAGACGAGACGAGATTTTTTATTTCTCATAAAATTTCGAGACGAGATCGAGACGGGATTTCCCTTCTCATACACAACGGGAAATGCACGTTCAAAATTTTTACCTGATTTTGTAACATTGTTAGATGACTGTTTAAATACAAAAATAATGATAATAGGCAAGAATATTTACAATCTTTTATTAAAAAACATCAGCATAACATTTTTTTATTAATCACGCCTAACTTATTAAAAATGCCTACGATTAGGAAACATAGTGATATCAGTTAGGATAGAGTTCAACTTATCCTAAAATAAAATAAATCATAAAATAAAAGCAATATTAATTTTTATAAAATAGTTACTTGTTTTGACTTTTTATAGTAATAAAACATTCCTCACACTGCTTACACTTAACAAAACTTCTCAAATGTTATTAAAGTAATATTATTAAAATAATTAAAGTAATATTTACATTTATAGAATTAATTAAATAAGAACGCCTTCGCAAAGGAAACGCAACTACAACACGCTCCTGTATTGCGGGTATTGCATTGACTTTCTGCAGGCGTTTTTAATTTTTTTTTTTTTTTTTTTTAATTCTCGTCTTGATAAAAATCTCGGCCAAAAAGAAATCTTGTCTCGTGTAACGAGATTTAAAATTTCCCGAAAATTTCCCGAAATTTCGAGACTTGACCATCCCTATTTTTTTTATTCATAGTATAATGATTTGTGTTTCTTTGCCAATTTGGACTCTTTCCCATTCAGACAAGTCTTCTATCCTCGCAAACAACTCTAAAACCCTAGGCTTTCGTAAGGATGTTACATCCTTAAGACAGCAGAGTCTGTCCGATCTTTCATGCTTCTTCACCCCCCCCCCCCCTTGTGGTCGATCGAGTACCATCAAACTGTGTGCTATTTCCATGTAGTATGACCCTTAACACAGTAAGGACTGGGGAGTATGTCAAGGCAACTCCTTTTGGCGCTCCTGTAGCATGTTCTAGTTTAGGCTACACCAGTTAGTGTGTATCTTCCCCAACTTCTTCAACATATTGAAATTTTGCAGAGTCCTGACTTTGGCGGCCAGTTCTGAAGAGGAGAAGGACAAATGGTTGGAAGACCTGACGGAAGCTATGGATTACAGCAAGAATCTTCCCAACGACGAGAAAATATCCTACCTCAGCCTTAAGTCCTGTAGTAAGTTACCTACGTGTATTCATGATGTGACTTTTGAGTGTATGGAGAATATTTTCAAAATCCTTAAATTTATATTTATTGAACTAGTTTTTTTTTTTTTTTTTTTTTTTTGTAGGAAAGGTTACAGGTTGTTGATAGCACACTAAAATTCCACAAAACTATTAGTTTCATGTTTTATGTATCACCTATTTCTAAGAAAACTTTGTCAGTGCGGGTTTTGTAACAGCAATTGAACAACTTCCTTCTGAGCCCTCATGGAAGATTAAAATATCAAGTTAAGTGTGTTGTACACATTAGAAGTTATTTAAGTATGTTAGTTGTGAATCTATTTCTTCTTCAATAGTTTCATCACACCTTTGATTGTGTGCCAGGTTCGTCAGACGACGTGATGGACAAGTGCGGCACGGAGGACCACAGAGTGTCGCCACAACGTAGTAACACGACCGTGCACGTCTGCTGGCATCGCAACACCAGTCTCAGTATGGAAGACATCCTGCGCGCCGCGCACAACACACTCAGCGGATACCTGCTGCGCAAGTTCAAGAACAGCAACGGCTGGCAGAAACTCTGGGTCGTCTTCACCAACTTCTGTCTCTTCTTTTACAAAACGTTCCAGGTAAATAGGGATCTGAGGGTTTACTGGGTCAGTTGGGGTAAGAAGTGTTGACCTGGTTGCGTTTGAAATTAAGTTACGTTGGAAAGTATTGGTTTTTGGCACATTAATTGATGTATGTATACATTATTTTACAATCATAGTGATCATGGTCTTCTGCAGTCATTGCAAAATCCTCAATGTCTCCTACAGTTGTGGCTTTACTTTTATGGGCTTTCTGTCAACAAAAAAACATGGTCTGCTTAAAAAAGCCCCTAACATTATTTGTTATCACGGTGTCATCGTGATAATTTTCAAAGATCCTGGCAATTTCAGAGATTCTCTCTTGCAATCACAACGTCGTTATCATCTTGTAATATTCTGACAACATGTATTGCCAAGTTCTTGCTTCTAAAATTTACTACACTTTAAATCTTGCCTAAAATGTTTGATATTTCTATATATTTAAGACTTAGAGCATTTAAATTTAAATTCTGTCACCTGACTACATTTAACAATGCATGGATTGTGGAAGAGTAGGAAAACAACTTGTGTTAATAAAGATAAATTATTCGCTTATCCAGGTAATTTAACAAATCAAGTGGAAATATTTTTTGAGAACTTCATTTTATATTACTAGAACATTTAAGATTAACAATCCTTTGTAGTTATACTGAATATATTGTATCATTTTCAAATTGTATATTAATCTCTTGATAGTTAAAAATGTATATTATACCAATGTTTGTATGATATTTACAGGATGATTGCCCATTGGCCAGTCTTCCGTTGTTGGGCTACACGGTGTCGCCCCCTAGTGACAAAGACGCAATACACAAAGACTTTGTGTTCAAACTACAGTTCAAGAATCACGTCTACTTCTTCCGAGCGGAGAGTGAATACACGTTTGGCCGGTGAGGATTCAAAATATATTTTATTGTATAGTTTCGAGCCTACTAAGATTTAATGTACTCTAATTAAACATTTAATCTGCATACTTTTAATTTGATCTGTTGTAGATAGTTTGACGGTTTCATTGAAGATTGTCTTCATAACGTCTAGTATACTACTGTAGGCCAATAGTATTTTGATTCCAACTGTTTCTTTTTGAAAATAACTATACATGAAACATTAAGAGGTTCAATAACTATAATGAGACTATAATGACTATAATGATTTATATGGCAAACAAACAAATTAATCAGTCTTATAGCTGATGTTATAATCATTTAATATTTTAAGTGTACTCTATATTTTTTCTGTGTCATTGGCAACCTTATTTTTTAAAGCAGACTTGTTTATTTTTATTAATCTTGATGAGGAATTTTCCAGAAAAATATTAGTGTTTTGATAAACTCCTCTTCTAAGGGCACAAACCGCTACTGACGTATTTGTAACATTCCAAATATTGAATATGTGTCTGTTATTTGTGACACTAGTTTTTATTTCAAATTGTTTATTTGCTGTTTCCCTGAGTTGAACTTTCGGTTCTTGTAGAAAAACTTAAAAATTATAATAAAGTTTTAATTTTCATTCTGCCAAACAGCTGATTGCAATATATAAACCAAAGACATCTTCATTAAAACAAGCAATAAGCACAATTGAGTTTTTTCTTTAGATTTAAAAAACCACATTATTTTCTTCTGTATTTTCGCCCTGTTGCAAAGCCCAGTTATAGCAACTGGTTTTTGTTAAAACTATCAAATATTTATTTAAAGTTAAAAAAAAAAAAAATATTCGGATATCAGGACGGTTTTACATCTGGATATATAATAGATTAGTTAAAATATGTTATCGTGTGTCGTCTTTCAGATGGATGGAGGTGATAAGTTCAGCCACTCAACATGCTGGCCGCACTAGACTCTTCAGTCGTAAGGACAGTGCTTTAGAAGACTGAAACATACGTCCGATATACAAAATATACTTAGATATCAAACTGTAAGATCTGGTTCTGCGGTTCATTCGATTTTTATCTGACATGGGTAAATTTTCAAGGCTGGTTCCCAATGAAACGCAAGAATGTTTAAAAATTCCAGATCAACATAAATTTGTCACCTTAATGTACCTTGTAAACCCGATTTATAGCAGTTGTTTAAAATAGTGGAAATTTTTATAGTTTTTTAAAAGTTTTTATTGTAATACAGACAATAATTTTTAAGTAGATCTGTAATGTTTGTATCTTGTATAGTTGCATTTGGAAACCGTTATTTACAAGTTGGAAATGTGTTTAGTGCACTTATAACTTTTTATAACACTTTTTATTGGTTTACGAGCAAGAATTTTACTCAATAAGCTCGTGCATTTTTATTTGTAGTTTTATCTAGGATTGTGTTTTATAAATTGATTATTTTATAGAAAACAAAAAATTTAAATTTTTATTTTAAAAGAGTGTAATTACTTTGAATTTACAATTTTTTACAGTTGTTTTTTTAATTTTATATTTTTACAATGTATATACTGTACAATGTACAAGTACTGTATAGATTTTTGTATCTGGGTCAAATAACTTTTTAACAAGTAACCACTTTAACGTTCTAACACATCCCAACAAGTAAGAAAGACATGTGAGACGAGACATTCCTTAGTCACTTTGCACGTCCAAACACGTTCGAACACCTCACTCACATCACCATTGCCTTACCCAGTGGCTTTAATCCATTAGAATAAGAGTTTTCATAATGTGTTATATTGTACATTTATATGCGAATTTTGGTAAGACTTCTTATTGAATTTATGAGAGATTTTAAAGTATTATTGCTGTTTTAGCACAAGTTTGTAATTTAAAGATTTTTCGAAGAAAGAATAATATTAGTAACAAATGAATGTTATGTTTAATTATGTATATAGAAATTTATAATTTTTGTTGTGTTGTCTCTTATGTTATCTATGAATAAATAACTTGTTTAGTTAATTGTTTTTTTTTTTAAATCTTTCTCAGCTCAGCCATTTTTCTCTACAAACTCCTACATCAATCCTGACCCAAAAAATGGAAAACTTATGTTCATGTATACATTATAGTATAATTATATTAGTATAAAATTATTACATTATAGTATTACAAGGGGGCTGAAAAGTCACAACCTATTTTTTATTAATTGTCATGACTTTATAGTGCTGGAAAACAAATAAAACTTTACATTTAAACATTGAGTACCATTAATTGTGGAACATGTCAAACATCGAGATATGAAGCTGCTTTGTCAACACATTTTCTTAATCCAACACATAATATCATTGACTATACCTACAGGTATATATACCTATAGGTTGTAACGACCCAAAACCCGTCAAGGGGTAAAAACCCGATTTTTAATGTTTCATTTTAAGGATTATAATTTTCCACGTTCGGGGTAAGCCGCGCCCGCGTTGTCAGCGGCATTGTAGGGGCAAGGGTCCTACGTCATCGTAGAGGGGATGACGCTAGTTACCTACCCCGCCGCCAGGGGCGATGGCGAAGAAGGACCAGAAGAGCGGACCTCATGATCAGTCGTCCACCCGCTACCGAACCGTCAGTACGCTTGCTGTTTGGAGACAATCCAACAGTCTATAACCTCCTAAATTCTGGTCAATTAAAGATTTCCCCCGTTCCTGGTAGAATCATAAGTCATCAGGTTAGTGTGCTACCGAATTTATTTTGTTTAATCTCATTTTTGGAGAAGTTTTATTATTTTTATTTTACTGTGCCGCAGTCGCGCGCACCCCGCACGCTTTTTCACGTACGAGCACACTACCTTTTGTCTTAAACCAGCTTCGGAAATCAGTTAAGTTGCCGGAACGGTTTACGTACGACTTACCCCGTTACCCCGGACCGTCCTACGTAAATTTGGTTTAAGAAACCCCGTACCGACTCTGGTGATCGACCGAGTCTAATTTTCCCGACACGTTTACTTTGGTGATTACCAAGTATAACGACAGAGTCTCGTTTTAGTTAAGTTTCTAATTAATTAGGTTATTCGCATTCATCATAGGTTATTCAAAATTCTAAATTTAATTTCACATATTTTTCGAGTGGCTATGATGAGCACTTTTTGAAGGTAAGCTTAACATTGTAAGCATTATTGTTGTATTTAATTCTGAGCCAATAAACTCGAAACGATAATTAATTAACGAACACGTTAGAGTCCTGGACTATCTCATAGTAGGCTAAGCTATCTGGACAAATTTAAGGTGTGACAGAATTTCAGGTGAGACGACAATTACGTACTTTAAAATCTAATTTTGTCTCTCAACCCGAAATTTCGTCATATCAAATGGCGATCCGAACAGGGACTATTGAATGTTAACGATATCTTATGGCGCCCGAAGGCATAGTCGATAATTAATTGTTTTGGCTCAGAATTTAATAAATATTACACATACGAACATTACCATAATCAGTGTTGTGTACGAGACATTACAGTGGAATATTGGTTTTATACCGTAGAACTAGTTACGATTAAACGTCAGTGTTGTTGTTTAACGTACTACGTTTGTGTAATAGAATTACAGGATATTTATTGGAATTTAATTGATTTCGAACTTAACCGTTTATACACCGTGTTTATTTGTACCAGTGTTTATACATTTCCTCTGATAATTTATTGTTATTCGATTATAATTATCTAAGTAGGAAATAGTTAACACTGCCTTCCGATTTAATTCATAATATTCTGTAAGAATTGTTCTGCTTTAAGGTGGTGCAATGATTTTTGGTCATGGTGGAATTTCAAACTTTTTAATAATGTAAGTTGTCAATATAAGGTTTAGAAGCAAACAAATATTTTTTTTGGAATTTTTTTATGGCTACTTTTTTGTTAACAGGTCTTTGAAATAGGCGATTTGGCACTCACTCTTTTGACTTTATCTCAAAAACGGTTTGAGTTAAGAATGTGAAATTTGGGGTATTAATCAATGATATTGTACTACAGGGTCTAAAAGTATTTATGTGTAAAAAAAATGAAAATCAATTTTACGTGCTGCTTTATTTGTAAAATAAAAAATATAAATTATGAGCTAATTGAAAAGAAAAATATTTTAGACCAGGAAGTTAAATCTAAGGAATGTATAGGAATTTAATTTATTTTTAAATATTAATATTTGTAGGCTGTAAAGTCAAAAGATATTTCCGCTGTAACGCCCGCACTGCTCAGCCTGCAACCCAGAGCGCTCCGTGCCCCCACCACTCCTCACTTTCTCCTCCGCTGATGACTCAGCCACGGCGCCGCACCGACCGCACGCTCTCGGCTCGTTGGCGTGTACATAGCATTTCGTGAGCAAAACGTTGAGTGTTCTTGGTGATGTGTTGAGAATTTATTCAAATGTAGTGACACAGGTTATTGTTTGAAATAGTGTAGTGTTGTGTGGTGATAATGTAGCGGTGCTTAGTAGTGCGCTTATGGTAAAGTATACTCAATTCCTCGTTTACTTGTCAGTATAGAGGCATTACGGATGTTTACCCAAATCATTTCCAGTATTTAAAGCAAATTTCCAATTAATTATTAATATTTCTTTTGGAAAACATGCCTATAGAAAATTTTACACAGATTAGCCTGCAGCACTTGGTGCGAACTACAGCATAAATTGTAATATTAATTAAACTAATGGCTGACAAATTGGATTATGGTTTATAATTCCTAAGCCCAGTGACGTACTCAGGAGGGGAATGAAGGAAATATATCCCCCCCCGAAATTTTGAAAAAGAAAAAATACAAATTATAGTTCAAGCCGAGTAGTTACTCCCGCCGTTTACCCGGGGTTTGGTACGCACGATTTAGTTATGCGGCCGTTTTTTATGACGTTTATCCGATATTCGGCCGTCATCGATCGATGGTACCGATAATGTGCAACTGATATTAAAACTCTTTAAGGTAAGATCAATAAACTCCTACTTTCAGAATATGTTAACATTTTGTCCCAATTTGAGTTATTTAGAATTTTTTAACTTAAAAGAAAAGTTATAAACATAATTTTAAAATGAGTTAGCTACATAAATGTAAGTTTAATTTGTTAATAAGTGATTAGAAATAGGCCTTATAATCCCTTATAATTCCTTTCTTTCTTTAAAGAAAACTGTAGGGCAACGTAACAATGAGTTATGGTTCGAAAAAAGAATGAACAGACTAACTGCTTCAAAGTTCGGATTTGTGATTAAACGCCTACCGCATACACCTTGCCATAATCTTGTAAAATCCATCCTCTACTCAAGATCATTAACCTCAGAGGCCATAACTTTCGGAAGAGATCACGAAGACATAGCTATCAAACTTTATGAAAACTCAACAAACAACAGCGTAGAGCCTTGTGGATTGTTTATCGACGTGTCCAATCCTTTTCTTGGCGCCAGTCCGGATGGAATAGTTGGTGAAGAAGGCATCGTTGAAGTGAAGTGCTTAGCTTCCGTAAAGGAAGAAACTTTGTCAGAAGCGGTAAAAGCTAAGAAAAACATGTGTCTAGAGTTGTCAAAAGAAGGGGAAATCAAACTAAAGAAGAATCACAATTACTTTTACCAGATTCAAGGCCAGCTCGCAATTACAAGCCGCAACTGGTGCGACTTTATTGTCTACACAAAAAAGGGGGAGATTTTTGTGGAACGAATACAAAAGGACACAACATTTTGGACCAAAAATATGTTGCCGAAGTTGACCAGATTTTACCAGGACTGTTTGCTCCCAGAAATTGTGGATAGCAGAATTGTTAGAGAAATGAAATGTAGAGATCCAGTTTACATCCTAGAAGCACAAAAAAAACTCAAAAATGCAAAACAAGAAAAAGCTAAAAAATCATAGTTTTTAAAATCCGTGCTATCTAATTCAAAATTGGCCCATAAAATGTTCTCAAATTATTAAGAAACACATCAATAAATGCTAACCAATAAATCTTTTAATTAACTCAATGATCAACATTAAAAACTTTCAAACTTAATTAAAGTCTTGTATTTTTTATTATAATTTTTTCTGGTAATTTTTTACAAAGTTTCGCAAATTGGTCCATTTCCGCAAAGGTCGCCACTAATAAATCTTTTTATTAGCTTAGCTCAATGGAGGGTGATAATAATCTTCAGAGTTGAATAAACTCTCTTATTTATTTAGAAACATCATTGTATACAACTAAAACTAAGTCATAATGATCTATCTTCTTAATTCTGTAAGGGTTTCGCCTAACGTTCTTTTTAACGTAATATTTATTAATAACGTAATTTTTATATTTTTTGTAAGTAAATATTAAAGTGTACTGTTTGTGCACGGGCTCCATCGTAATATTGTAATTACATACACATGATCAAATGTCAATCATGCGATTGTAGGCATGCTTTAGAAAATATGTTTCAATCATAATTTGTAAATGTTGCGTGTAAATAAAATGTTACTTCCTGAAATCTTTCTTATTTCATTTTATTTATATTGACCTTACCTGTAAAGATTGCGTGCAATTATTTTTTTAAGCAGCGTTTACTCTACAAACCAGAAACAATACTTTGTCTGAATATTAATAATTAGAATCCAGATTCACATTTACAGTATCTGCGTTTTATGATAAAACGCAAAAGAATGAAGCTGCATTCCAGAAACTCACACAATTTTATCCTATTTTTATTTCAATATAAATTTGAATGTAATATCATATAATCAAATAAAGCATATTACTGGAATTTTAATTTGTTGAGTGAAATAATGCGATGTTTGACAAAAGCAAGATAAGTAGGTCAGTCCGGTAAATGACCATTGAACTATTATGGTTTGTTACAAATTTTTGGTCGTTGATAAAGTAGAGATTGCAACGAATGAATTATGTCTTAAAGCCATTTATATTACAATCACTCAGTTCTAAAATAGACCTCTTCCTTTGATTTCGATTAACCGTAGGATAGTTAACAATGTAACTTTACCAATGGTAAAAAAATATAGTTAATTATTATTAATATATGAAAAATCC